TGTTAAGGCCGGTCTGTGGGGAGGCGTGGTCTTTGAAAGCGTCAGTTATGGAAGGGTGTTGGAACGCGGCTGAAGGATGGTAGGACTGCCTCCCAACGCCTTTCTACCAGTAACGTCCCTAAATTAAGTCCGCCTTTCTAGGCTAGCTATTGCAATCACTACTACTGGTTCCCGTAACAAGGTGGAGCTCCTTTCAGGGAATCTACACGAACGTCGGTGATCGAGGAACCCAGATGTCTGGTGGCCAAAAGCAACGTATAGCCATTGCCCGTGCGTTAGGTCAGAGACCCGAAAATCCTTTTACTCGATGAAGCCACAAGCGCTCTCGACGCCGAAAGTGAACACATTGTCCAACAGGCTCTCGAAAACGTAAGAATTCTGGGTGCATCCATCGTATGACCGTATTAGGGTTACTGTAATTCAGGCATCCAAAGGAAGAACGACAATTGTTATTGCTCATCGACTGTCGACGATTCGAAATGCCGATAAAATCATCGCAATGAAGAATGGAGAGGTATCTCTATCTCTATCTCGTTAAAGCATTATTAACACACGACGACTGCGCGCTTTTGCTTTCATGGACGCGAACGACAAGCACTTTGCGCGCGGCGGAGAAACAAGAGGAAAAATTAGGAAAATAGCACATTTTCCCTATTTGTTTTCTAGAATTCATCGTTATATTTATCGATGATTTTTAAAATAATTGTAAACTGTCTGAAAGGAAGTAAAAGTGCGCATGGAAAAAATTTATAACAGAGTGTGGCACCATATGGTGCCACACCGTCCCTCGCGGCCCCATAAAGTGTGATACTACGTGGCATCATGCTGCCGTCATGGTGTTGAAGGGATTAAAGGTAGCGGCTGATTTTTCCATTCAGGTGATGGAAGTTGGCACTCATGACGAGCTGATCGCTCGTAAAGGGACTCTATCACGAGCTGGTCAACGCACAAGTATTTGCCGATGTGGACGATAGTATGTTCTTTGCTTTATTCATATTTTGGGTTCCAAAGCTATTCGTAGCAGATAGCCGTGACACGTTTCGAATCTCCCTTACCCTCGTATTTATCCTGAGGCAGTGCGTGACGTACCTTGTCATCATCTCGATCGAGGTCCCCATCGCTTGCTTCACCCGAATATAAGGTACAGTCACTTCTCTATAAACCGCCTCAATGCCATTTTTTGCGTTTCAGCGTCTCAAATCTCAACTGTCCGTAACTGAAGACACTAGCGTAGCAGCTGCCCAAAACGACCCGGTGAAAGCTGAGAAGGACTTGGAGCGACTGAAGAAAGGTTTGCCTGACTTCGGTTTCTTGGTGATGACTGAAAAACTGACATGAGTATTTTTCAGAACTCGAAGAGGAAGGTGCTGTGAAAGCGAATCTCATCCGAATCCTTAGCCATGCTCGACCGGAATGGCCTTTCATCATGTTTGCCGTGTTCTCTTCGATCGTCCAGGGCTGCGTTTTCCCGGCTTTCTCGCTGTTCTTCTCACAGAATCATCAATGTACCGTTCATTCTGCTCTTCTTCAAAATCCTTTTTCTATCCTTCAGTTCTTTTAGGTGTTCTCAAAGCAACCGGGTGATCCAACGCTAAAGCAAGAAGGCCATTTCTGGGCATTAATGTTCCTCGTGTTGGGTGGTGTCCAAGCTACCACCATGATCATACAGGTATGTTCTGCCCGAGCTGACTTTCCTCCATATTTCCAACGGTGATTTTTCGCTGCAGTGCTTCTTCTTCGGTCTGTCTGCGGAACGTCTCACAATGCGACTTCGATCCAAGATTTTCAAAAATGTTATGAGAATGGATGCCACCTATTTCGACATGCCTCGTCATTCACCTGGAAAGATCACCACACGACTGGCTACGGACGCGCCTAACGTTAAGTCGGTAGGTTTCCTTTGGGTAACAGAGTTTTTTGGTATATCCACCCATTCATGTGATTCACGCTTACATAAGACGGTATCAGACGCAGGCATGGTGTAGTGACAAGTAGCGTCACTTACAAAGCAAACGGTCGGGGTATCAAATCCTGAATCGGATCCAGCTCAGGTCATGCAAAATTCCTATCCTTTGGGATCGGTTGTTAGATACCGGGGTTGTCTAATAGGAGGAAACACTCGCTTGTACATGGGCTGATTCTGCAAGCTATCACAACCGCTTTCAAACCGTGACGATTTCGTGTGAGTGTGAAACGCATGGCGCATTCTCAAAAATGATTGGTCAACTCGAGAGGCTTTTTCATGTATAAAATCGATATAAGCCACCACTGACTGCGATTTGATTTTATCCTTCCAGAGAAGGCTGGTACTTACTTGAGCCGACCTCGGAGATAAGGTTTGGTGAGCCTGAGTTAGATCGATCCCGGGTCCGACTAGGGTCCCCTGCGTTGGACATTTTTCAGCGAGGGGATCGTATTTATCATATTTATTTATCGTATCATTAAGCTTTTTTGAGATGAAGACGTATTTTGGGTCGGTGAAGGTTGGAAGGTGGAAGAAAGGAGGAGGTCGTATTAGGGAATTCTCCTAAGGGTGGTGGTGGTGGTGCGGGGTGGGGGAGAGGTCATGTCGGGACCCTTCAAAGAGGGAGAATCGTGAAAATTTTTGGAATCTGCGCAACGCATAGTTGACCCTGGGTCTGACACATGGACCATGGGTGAGAAAAAGGAGCTACGTGTCACTATATCACTTCTGCTCGATGATACTGCATCATAAAAGTGCCTAAATCAGCAGACAGATGATGCACCCTACATATTTAAGGCTCTCGACTATCGTTTCGGTTCCGTGTTCAGCTCAGTCGTCTCCGTCTGCAGTGGCGTTGGAATCGCAATCTATTTTGGATGGCAAATGGCACTTTTGGTGAGTAAAATAGTAGCCGCTCACTTTGAAACAGTGCCAAACAACTTGGAAATTCTCAAAAATCTGTTCAAGTCATAGTAAAAATAATATCTAGTACCAATTCCTAGCCTCTTGAGAAGCAATCCGTCCATTCCAGACAATCGCCATCTTCCCGCTAGCCGCTGTTGGACAGGCAATCCAGATGAAATTCATGTCTGGCCGTGCGACAGCTGATGCGAAAGAGATGGAAAACAGTGGAAAAGTGGGTTTAGATGGAATTCGCACAGATTCGAATCAATATTTCATGGTCTTGACTGATAGTGGAGCTTTCCAGGTAGCCATGGAAGCCATTGAGAACATCAGAACAGTACAAGCATTAACATTAGAACATCGACTTCATCAGCAATTTTGTCCAACATTTGGATGCACCGCACAAAACCAGCAGAAGAAAGGCTATCATTCAGGTAAGGAGTGACTGGAATTCTGACTGCTATCAGTTGACCATCCAACCCACGCTGCATCGTATCGTCGCGTTTGGCTTCAATTTTTACCTTTTCAAAGGCAGGGGCAACAAATCGGGACCTTGAAGAGGGGGAATGGAGTCCTCTACAAATGGGGGCTGGATCCCTTAGAGAACGACATGGCGTATTTGCGACGAAGGAGCCGCTAGCAGACAGACTTTACCCATTCACAAATACCTGCCTTCGTCCCTCGCCCGCCCTCCAGCTGTGCTCCCCCGCCTTCGAAGTCTAGCCGTTTCAGCAGAGAGTCGGTATGTTCATGTTGAGACGTCAGCACCTAACCTCCCTTCAAAAAGCGAGAAAGTGTCGGGTGCAGACCAAACACCACAACTGACGACGGCCTCCAAGTAAATCTGGTTAGAAGTTGTTCATAGTGATAGCTGATTTCTGGTAAATGATAGTTGTAATTAGTGACAATCGATAGAATACAACTGCAACAGGCTAATCATTTCATTGGCAGAAAACATTAACATTTTGTGAAGGCCGTCGTCACTTGTGGTGCATGGTCTGCACCCGACACTTTCTCGCTTTTTGAAGGGAGGTATATGGGCTCCCAGAACGGAAAACGAAGGAAAAAAGACGAGTCCATTTCTGCGGGTTAAAGGTCATTTTTCTGTTTTCCTTAACGCACCTCTTATCAGCTCTGAAATTCGTTCCCAAACGAGAGACCATTCTATCGTTCTAACTGCCTTCAAAGGAAACGTGCACAGAAACCACATGATTCTATCTCCTTCATAAATCGATGGCATGGAACCCATCCGCGTCAAGATAGGTAAAAAAAAAAAAACGAAAACAACTTGTGATTTCTAAGATTCTGCAAGAGCAATATCTGGATCGATTTCTCTTATCATTCTCCTATCAAATTTCTACGAATTTGGTTTTTGTGAACGGAAAGACCGAATAAAGGGACCGACAGCCCAAAATTCGACATAGTTGTGTACTACCTATTGATATCTTGATCTAATAATGGGATAATGAAAGAGTTAAACAGTCAGGGGTGATACATCATTTGATGGTATGCGCCACGCATTTCGCTCCCTGTTGAAATCTTGAACGGCATTTGAATGCGGCTGGCTCTCCAATATTGTTTTTGTAATGCTAAGGAGAACTAAGAAAATATTGGCTGCTTTCAGCATTCCCGCCCCAGAACTGTTACATATGTTGGCTGGGAGACGCCTAATTTTGTTTCTTGGAAGCCATCAGTAGAAAATCTTTGGCCTCCCCACCTACAGCAGGATCATTTTTCTTTCCTATTACATTCCAATCTACCGCGCTGGAACGTTTTGTCCTTACTTTTTTCATTTGGAAGGATGAACTCAAATTTTTTTATGACGGCGTCGTTTAATCCTTAGGCCGTTCCTTCACATACCACTCCAGTGCGTCCATTACTCCGCCCACGTTCTACCTAACTGTCCACATGTAGATTTTGTAGGCTTGTTTTTTTCGAAATTGAATTTCCATGCATAAAACTTTGCACGGTATAATTAGTGATTACATTGGCTCACCGATCGTAGTAAGTGGGAGGCGGAGCTATTTTAAAGAGGAATCACTGGTGAAGGAATTTGGGAGGTACTCCCACAACACCACTAGTGCGGTACGGGCTGATGAGAGACTCCCTCCCCAAGCAGGTTCGCCGGTGAAGTACCAGAAGCACCGCTCGCTCGCCGCCCCTTCCATTTCCCCCCACCCTCCCTCCAATCGCCCCACCACGCGTTGCCTTTGAGATGAATTGTTGAATTCCAGGGTGTTTCTTATGGATTCGCAAGCAGCATCTTCTACTTCTTATATGCGTCATGCTTCCGTTTCGGATTGTGGCTTATCGTCAACGGCACTCTTCAACCAATGAATGTCCTGAGGTGCGTTTTTCAGCAACCTTAACTAACAACTAGGATAATCTTCTCAGCAAGGCTTTCCATGCGAGTGGGGCTTTTTCGTTCGATAACTTCGTATAGCGAGTGCGCAACGAAGTATATCCTATTTACGGGTTTTTGTTCGCAATCTCCTTCACTGCTGGAAGCATGGGATTCGCAAGTTCCTATTTCCCCGAGTACATCAAGGCGACATTCGCTGCCGGTCTTATCTTCCACATGCTCGAAGAAGAACCACGAATTGATGGCATGACCAGCAACGGCAAGAAACCGAAGATCGCCGGTGCCGTCAAACTGAACAAAGTCTACTTCAAATATCCTGAAAGACCCGTACGTGCCCATACTTTCATGGCTGGATATGATGTAGTAAATTAAAAAGATATTACAGAATTATCAGCTGTCATCTTTTTAATCAATGATATGTCTTCCTACGACGTTGAGAAATTTGAAAATTTATGGTCACTTCTTCAGGTCAAGCCTGGTGAGACACTAGCGCTGGTTGGGCCTAGTGGTTGCGGAAAGTCGACAGTGATATCGTTACTCGAGAGGCTTTACGATGCTTTGGACGGTTCTGTGGTGAGTGTACTTTGACAATTACTTTTATGCCCCTATATGCATATCAAGGCGCTATTGCAAGTTACAGGGCATTGTAGTGGCAATGCATTTAACATCGTATAAAACATCTCCTTGTAGTTATAAACGGAATAAAGCCTCAGGTGGGGAGGAGGGGCTCCAGGAAACGCGAGCAATTTTTATGTTGGCCAGAGTTGCTACTCTTTACTAGGCTTAGTTTTGAAGAATGCCCCTGTGTCTTGCGATAGAGCCCATACCTACCTTCCAACGAGGGGCCCTCGACAACTGAGCGCAGAAAAAATAATACGAAATGTTCGGTTCGGGAAACTCGTCATCGCAATGAAGATATGATACATCTCACGTGGACTCTTATAGTACTACCCTGCAGTATGCATGTAAATGTTCCGCGCATCGCGCAGACGTTTTATTTCATCCTGCCACTCCCGAACATCAAAGAGCCAATTCGGAAAATCTAACCTATAATGAGGCATATCATTGATACGATAACACGCGTATTTAAGACTCCAAAATCAATATCTTTGTAAAATTTAAAACTCAAAGATAAGTTAATATATAGAGATAGAGTCGAGGCTTTCACTAAACCACTTCCAACTGTTTGATCATTATAGATAGAGATAATAGAAGAAAAGGGGAGACAGGACGCTAAGTAGGGCGCCTTCAGGTTGGAGAACATAAACGATCGATCACACACAATAATTTTTTATATATGTCCTCACTCTTGTCAATATTAGAGATTCATAAAGTATGTACATCATCCGAGAAGGGGAGGTGGTCGAAAATGTGAAACTTGGCTTAGCACGACGTTGACCAAGCTCTTCTAAGTTACGAACGAGCGTATCTAAAAATTAGTTTTATGTGAAAATGACAAATTCCAAGCGTCCCTCGGAGGGAATACGGATTGGAGAAAGCTCAAAGGAAAGCGATTACTAAAAGAAGGGGCCGCATGGGGAGTATACAGGGGGCCAAAAAAAAAGACATTTTGCCTCCACTTCCAGATGGATTTAAGCACATTTTACTCAACTCAGACCGAACGGTTCCAACTTATTATTAAAGAGTGCATTCCATTCTATAAGAAAATCTTCATAGTGGCCACGTACGTGGACGGCATCAGAAGAATTAGCCCTGGAAACATGGTGCACTGGTCGATCTCAATGGGGTCTTCGAAGGATCGTGTACCATAACGACCCTTACTGGAAAGCTAGTTCCGAGGGGATTTGCACAGTGGTAGCTAATGCCTCTAGAAAACTATCCAACATTAAATCGATTCACGAAATTGCGTAAGAGCTTCAGGCTGAAGCTCTTACGGTAGACCTCCTTGAGCCTGACGACGGTGACAGATGACGTCATATTCTGAAGACGGTGAGGGCAGTGAAGGAGGGCCTGCGTACACTTATAGAGGACACTTAGGGAATACTCTGCTGAGGAACTCCCGTCAACGACAGCAATCTCTGCGAAGAAAAAAGAGCCGAAGTCCGACATAGGCAAAATGTCTTTTTTTTTGGCCCCCCCCCCCTGTATGTGCCAGACAAACAGCATTACCTCCGGCTGCCACGGGAAGAGAGTTGTGGCTTTCACGGCGGAAGTGCTCTGGCTGAGCAGGAGTTCCGAAGCACTTCCGCCCCGAAAGCGTTACGTAAGCCCACTAATTCAAAACCGGTGACGTGGGCGAGCTGTTTGCTGTTGGCTTTTCATTTTGGATGATCATTTTCCCTTCTAGCGGCTGTATCTTCCAACTTGCCCATGTATGCCTTATCAATCAAAACACTATGCTTGTTGGCATGATGGCGGCTATCGGGGTTAACACGTCCGAACAACTCTTTCTTTGTCGCCGCTCATCCATGGTCGAAAATGAAAGGGCAATCAAAGGGGTACTATTTTGCTTATTTTTGACGGATTTCTTTGCTTTTTTCGCCATTGGCGTACCAACTGAGCACCCCCACGTCCCCTTTACCCTTCCAGATCTATCGTAATCGCTTGCCTTCTAATTGAATACTGGGGTAGGATAGCGATGGAGGTGTATGGTTCTTCCCTAAGCAACCAAGATGCGCTTTACTTTTGAGCCGTAGCGCGTCCGCTCGCGTCTCATTACGACACATCCCACCTCATGCACAGCTTCTAGCTACTAGAAGTATCATACACCATGTTGTGTTGCACATTTCTTAAATTGCAAAAAACATTATATTGTGATCATATATTTCTAGGAAGTTGATGGCAATGATCTACGCGAAGTGAACCCTACTCATCTGCGTGCCCATATAGCTTTGGTGTCGCAAGAGCCGATTCTTTTCGACAGATCCAATCCGAGACAACATCCTCTACGGTCTTCCACCAGGATCCGTTAGCGATGCCCAAGTACATGAAGTCGCTCAACGTGCTAACATTCACAGCTTCATCATAGGACTGCCTGATGTAAGTTCGATTCCACGACCAAAGCACCATTAACG